TTCAGCCTTACTAGTAATAAAATTTAAATTAAAACACCCATGAGATAGCGCTCGTAGCCAGCATATTAAACAAAGATCTTTCAAGTAAGAGCTTGAGGAGACCCCCCGACCCTCACCCTGGCCCCGGCAAGAAAAAAGGACTGCTTCAAAAAAAAAAAAACAAAAAAAAAACATTTATTAAGGACCTATGACATGCTATATACCCAGCTAGGACCTGTTGTTTATTATCTCATTTTATCCTCACAGCAGGGGCCTGAGTCTGGTATTGTTATTTCATAGAAGCAGGTAAGGCTCAGAGAAGTTAGGTAACTTGCCGGGGTCACAGAGCTAGGAAGGTCAGAGTAAGGACGTTCCTTGCTCTGTCCACACTGCCTTGGCTGTGCAGCAGAGGGAGGGTTCTTGTTCACTTCTTAGTGCCCACAGGCAGGGTAGTAAGGGATGAGGGGTTAGCTGCTGAAAGAAGGAGAAGAGCGGGTGTTCCAGGGGAGGTACAGTGGGCCTGGGGTCAGGAGCTTGGCTATTGGGCCTGGAATAGAGCCTGAAGGGTTAGGTAGTGTGAGGCTTAGGAGGTGCCCCTCGCTTTAAGGAAAACAGGGTTAGGTGTGGTCTACCTCTAGGGAAATCTCCGACTCCCTGCGTGGTTGGCCTCCTGGGGAATGTCACTGGGCGACACTGGGCGGGCCTTTCCCAGGGGAAGAGAGGTGGTCTTGGCTGGTGAACCCAGGAGCCAGGTTGGCCAAGGCTGGAGACAAGAAGGAGGGCGGGGCCAGCCCAGAGCTGGGAGGGGCGGGACCTACCACGGATTGATTGGGTTGGTGACCCGGGAGCGCCAGAAAAGCGTCTGCAGGTCCTGCCGCAGGCACTCCCACAGCATCTGGCCGGAGCCTTGGCCCTGGCGGCTGGAGCTCACCACGAATTTGTCCAGGTACGGGGTGCCCCCCAGTACGGGCTCCATGGTCAGAATGGCCGCCGCGTTGTACCTGGCGCATCAGGAGAGAGGCAGGCTGGGACCTCTCTTTGTCCCGAAGTTGCCTGACTGTGTCCCTCGGTCTCTGCCCTCTGGGGCCCGCAGGCTCACCCCTCAGAGACGTAGATGCAGTGCAGCCGCGGGCGCAGCGAGGCCAGGTAGTCGTCCCGGAGCTTCTTGCCGAAGCTGGCGTTGACCAGGGTAACGAGACGGCCCTGGTCCAGGCTGTCCAGGTTGCGCACTCGCAGCATCCGCTCTGCGTTCTTGAACAGGGTTCCGGACCCTGCAGGAGAGAGGAAGCGGGAGGGGCTCGTTAAGGCCGACAGTCCGCCTCCACCCACTCCTCGGTCACGCAGCCCGGTGGGGGCTGCAGGTAAGGTAGAGGCTGGTGGGCCGATGTCCCTCTGTGGGAGACCTCTGCAATGGAGCGATCCTGTGGTCTGCATGCATTTGGGATTCTCACTCAAGGAGATGCTTTACCCAAGCTCCGCCCATCGCCCGTAGTCCCACCTACTTCCCTTAATCCCGCCTCTCTCCCTAAAGTCTACCCCCCCTGCCCTGGTCCCGCCCAAATCCCGCCCACCTCCCCAGTCTAGTCTAGCCCGCTTGGTCCCGCCCCTACAAGCCCCGCCCATTTACAATTCCTCCTGCCCACTCTCCTTAGTTCCACCCAAGTTGCATCCCAGTACGCTGGGTCTACTCCTCTGTCACCTCTCCCAGGTTTGGGCAGGAGCAGGAAGCCATTGCTGTGCTGTCCCCCTACGGCTTCCGGGCTGGTGGGGAAGCCGCTACTCCTGCTCACCCCGGTGACACCCCCGGGACACAGGCGCCACCCGCCCGCCCGCGTCCGCACCCCTGTTGCTGAAGAGCTCGGTGAGCAGCGTGCTGGAGGCAGTGATGACGGCCGAGGAGTGGTGGGGCAGGCGGCTGAGCACGTCCACGATGAGCCGGATCTGCTGCCGTTCTTTGGTGCTCAGCCAGTCAGCGTTGGTCACCAGGTCCAGGTCGGCGGGCAGGTTCACATTACTCAGGACCTGCGTCCAGAGCGAGGGGGTGAGCCTCCGGCCCACTGCCGGCCACCAATCGCTCCCCTGACTCCCAGACCTGCCCCGCCAATCTCTCCTCTCTGACCCCTTTGCCCTTATATCCTCCCTCAGTCCTCCGCCAGGCAGGGCTCAGATCTGAGCACCGGGGCCCGAACCCCTTCCAGGCACTCCATTCTGCTTTCCTGCCCACCCGGCTTACGAGGGACTCTGCGGCCCGGCCGGGGGCGTACAAGGGGCGCAAGAGAGGGCGCTCAGCCAGGCCCGGAGTCGCGAGGTGGGGTGCACAAAAGGAGGGGCGCACCTTCTGACTGCTGTCGCGCAGGCCGCCTGTGTTATTAAGGAAGATGGTTTTGGTGGGCCGCAGCGCCTTGGCCAACGACGCGGTCACCTCCAGCGAGTCGAGAAGCACAGAGCGGCGCGCGGCGGTCTCTCCGATGGGGCACAGGATGGGGATGCTGCCCGACTCCAGGCACCACTGCAGCAGGTCGGTCTCCACTGAGACGATGCCGCCGTAGCTGTGGGCCAGACATGGTGCTCGAGAGGGCCCCCTACAGGCCCGCCGCACTAGGCGGGACCGGCCGAAGTAACGCGCTCTGAGGATGCGCAGGGGCGGGCAGGACCGTCGCTAACCTGGCATGGGGTGCTGGCTCGGCAGCGCCCAGCACCGACCCGCCGCCAAAAAAAGGCACAGCAGTGGCGGCGTTGTGCCGCAGCGCGTCCACCAGCACCTTACAGCTCTGGGCGAGCTGCGCCTTGGCCTCCCAGAAGGAAAGACAGCCTGAGGGCGCCGTGGGGGCGGGCAGCCCCAGGACCACCAGTGGCTTCATGTCCATGCGCTGCAGG